GGGGGGGGTTGATATTCTTGGCCACGATCAGTTTGGTTTGATAAAAATAACCAGTCACAAGGCTGGTTGGTTGGATGACGTTACCGGTAGGTCCTACTTTTTGACTTTCCCGCTGTTATTTTTGTCTGACTGTCTTACTTCTTCCCAGCACTAAATGACATGTAGTGGGTCAATGTGCTTCTCTTTACTCAAACAAACAAACAAACAAACAGGCGAGAGCGAGGCGTGTGACATTTTGGGGTGAGATCTTTTGTTTGCCTGTGGAATCAGCGGAATGCAGAAGGCCGTAATGGACTTACGGGTCAAATAGTATTATGATGATGTAAAGCAGGGGTCTATTTGGTGTAGTGTGCACTGGCCAGTGCCTTTGTAGCCAGACCCGACCATGTCTTTTGCTGCTACCTGTGTTGGTATTATTGTAAAAGCGTTCGTCCGGTGTTTTCGAGTATCTATAACTCATGTGCTGTCGATGATATAGTTTTACCAAAAAATGTACAGTCAGTTCTTTTGTTGTTGTTTTTTTCTGAATGGGTAGTTTGTGGGTGCTTAGGTGTAGTCTGCTCCTTCTTTCCTCCCAAAATACCTATCGTCCATTTCTCTCCCCCTTTTTTGTACGTTACTCTCAAGTAATACAGCTAGTCTTCGACACTCATATGACCTACATGTATTTGTATTGCCAGTGCCGTAAAACTTGCAATAAACTGAAATGTTGTTTGAGATGCTCCTCATGGGGATGCTGGTAGAAAAAAAAGGAAAAAAAGAAAGAGATAACAAAAATGACGCTTGTCTAGTTACGGTAACGCGATCTAGAGTCGTTTGCTCCTACTTAGCGTTCAGCGCTGCGATGAATGTCGCAATAAAGATATCTTCTTGAAACTAAGCTGATCAAATGGCGGCAGGATCCGAAATGAAATGAGACATCGCCGAATCATATGTTAAAGGGTTATCGCTCATTTCTTGGCGGTCTGGGGGAGGTTGGGCATCGTGGAGTAACCGACGCTACAATTTGTGCTCTTGGTGCCTCCTTCTCTCCCCCCCTTCCTCTCTCTCTCTCTCTCTCTCTCTCTCTCTCTCTCTCTCTCTCTCTCTCTCTCTCTCTCTCTCTCTTTCGCTGTCTCTCTCTTTTTCTCTCTCTCTCTCGCTCTCTCTCGCTGTCTCTCTCTCTCGCTCTCTCTCTTTCTCTTTCATTCCTTCCAGGTCTCCCCCTCCCCCTTCTCTCCCTCTCCCCCCCCCTTCTCTCTCTCTCTCTCTCTCTCTCTCTCTCTCTCTCTCTCTCTCTCTCTCTCTTTCTGTCCCTCCCTTCCTCGCCCCCTCCCTCCTTGTCTGTCTCTTTCACTCTCTATCTCTCTCCCGCCCTCTCCCCCCCCTCCTTTCTGTTTGTTACCACCCCCTTCTCTCTCTGCTATAGCGCTGTGGGTTTCAAACGTGACTGACATGTGGATGCCCTTCGTTCAGACAGGGTCGCATCAGGATCTGGATATTTCTCTTCTCTTGATCTAGGTGTTCCGGCAGGGGAGGAAACAACTATTTTGTTTTTAAAAATAAATTATTTATTTATTTTAAATTATTTATAATTGTTGTAATTTGTCATTTGTAATTTTTTTTTTTTTTTTTTTTTTTTTTGGGGGGGGGGATACGCCTCTTGCAACTGCATACGGTTATATGATCGCGGGAGACGCATTAAACATTTTCAGTTTGGCAGGAATTAATTTGGTTTTTAATTTAGCCCGGGTGGCGGCCGAAGCTTACTCTAGTCTTATCGATTTTGGACCACCAAGGGATCTTAAGCCTGCGCAACTTGCACGGGACCTCCGAGATTTTTCGACGTTATCCTAGAAGGCTAGGTGTTGATCTTAACTACCCTAAGATCAGGGTTGTGATCAGAAGAAAGGCTGCAGAGAGAGTCAGGGACCCAGAGGAGGGTGCAAAAAAAAGGGGGGGGGGGGGGGGGCGAGGGGGCAGAAAGTGTAGTCAAAAGCATACCACAAATCATGTTTAGAGAGTATGAAAGAGGTGAAAGAAGAAATTTTTCCGTCGCTGTCAGGTCTCGAACCCAGGACTTATTGAATGAAAGGCGAACACCGTATGTAACCTCTAGACTACGAAAGTACCCCAATTATGTTTTGTCTTAGTTTTATTACTCTTCGGTGTGTTTTGGGCAGGAACCTTTGCACTTCTTCTATCTCTGTTAGATTATGACATTTATACAGCCTGATAACTGTTATAGCTCTTAAAATTGTCACCTGCCCCTCATCGTGTCTCTTAATGGTTGACTTTTGGTTGATGCTTTTCTCGCATTTGATGACTGATTTTGGTGGTTTCTGCCACTCTTTGGACTCTTGATAAAGCTTTTATACTTGCGATACCAACTGAAGGTTTGCAAAGTCTCGGCTTGCTTTTTATTTCTATCTGTGCTGTCTGTCGTTTGGTCTTATTTTTTCCCAGCACTAAATGACCATTATTGATATTGTGTCCACGTACGCTTCTCTTTACTCCTACAAATCAACGAAAACATACTCTCCGAGATTGACATTCAACCGCCTCTTAAATGACCGCACATGGCATTGATAGGATTACCATACAATCTAATGAACTAGCGTCTACGGTAAAGGGATTATGCACTCTGCCGACGCCTGCAAAAGACCTGGGTTTGATTCCCGTGTGGGAAGGTTTGAAAAAATTGAGTATCCTTGTCTTTATGCTCGAACGATGTATCCCTTTCAGCCCAGGTTGGCCCTGGCAGATTTAAGGGGGGGGGGGGGGGGTTCCAAAGCTGGACTCCTAAATTATTATAATTGTTTTGATAGGTGTAAAAGATGTACATTAAAAAGAAAATAGGAAGAAGAAAGAGATCTCCGCCTACTAGTTCTATCCTTTCGGATATTGAATTGAATTCAGAGGTCCAGATTTTCTAAAAACTCTACACAGTGTTGACATGAGTTGTTTTTTAAAAACAATATTCATTGTATATACAGCAGCAGTTGCAACACACAACGCTACGTACAAAAAGCTCCCTCCAAAAATGTATAATGATAAGTGGAGCCGCAAAGTGTCCTCCTGTGCCCAAAGTGTAGAGGGAAACGAAATGTGTGCCTGTGTTCACTGAGGCGGTAAAGGCGCGGGAGCCCAGTTGAGTGTTAGCAGCTCAGGGAGATTGCCAGCCACCGAATGTCTAGTCTTTCTCTCCTGGTGCCCTGGCAGGCCTGACTGGCTTGGACTGGACCACTGGCCACTGACCAGTGGAAGTGATTCCGCTCTCGTGGCTCTGCTGAATGCCGCTGCCGTGTTTGTTGTTGCCCTCGCTGCTCGAGGAATGGCCACGTGACTTGGTTCTTGTCCACCCCGCCCCTCCTCCTCCTCCATTTCTTGTGTCCCTTCCTTTGGGTTGCGAATCAAAGGTCCCCCCCCCTCCCTACCCCCTCCCCACGTATCCTTTCCCTGCGCTTTTTACAGCCGTGACTCGTTCACCCATGCGGCGTTTATTGAGCGGTTTGTCTTGACAAAGCCCGAAAACGACCACGTGCGTGCTGCGACGGTGGACGGCGACAGAGACATGTTGGGTTCAGCCTTCTTCAGCCTGCCCGGCCCGACAGTGGTGACACGTTCATGATCCTCTTGTTTATTGCTTCCAGGCAGACGAGACTCATTGACACAATATTCCCGCCTCCTGCCTTCCCCCCACAAAGCAGGAGAGGAGTCCCAGGGCCTACCTGACGTTATTCCCCCGACTCGAGTTTCTTCTGTTGTTATTCTGCGGCTGGTAGTCTCAGTTTCTTGTCTTTCTCGGTGTCCGGGATTCTCCACATTCCGTGCTCGCCAAACGGTGACGCAATGAAAGGCGCGGGCCGTGAAAAAGTCCTCCAAAGACGGTAACAACAGAAGCTCATTATTTTGCGTGCAGCCGGCAAACTCTGCGGGCTTTGCTCCGACTCGTCTTTATCTATGGCCGTTCTGGTGTGACTGTCGCTTTATCGTTCGTCAACGCAGACAAATATGTGAACAATTTTTCGACATGGCTGTTGGTTGTGAAAGTGCTGCCTTGGTTCGTCTCTTCGTTTCAACCCAAGCCTGGTAGAGAGGCGGCTCTTGCTCTCAGTTCTCAGATAGCGACAGTGTGTCGTAGGCCGCGCAGCTGTGTGTCCGCCAGTTTTTTCATTCCTCGAGGAAGAATACAGCGTTTGGTTTTTTAAGGCTTTACTGTCGATGCTTCTCTTCTTTGAGGATTCACCACAGTTTTATATTCTCTGTCCTACAGTGGAAAAATAAATATTTTTTAACGGTATTCACCAAACTTGTTCCATACTCGTGGTTTGAAGTTGCGGTTGTCGGTATTGTTCACTCGATTGTTTTTGTGGGAGCAGCAAGGTTCTCGATCCCGGATAAGCGTCTCTTATGGCTACGACATTTTCAGGCGAAATCTAGATCTAGTTGTTTACTAGTGACAGAACCATGGGTATCGAACAGCTCCAAGGTGAGTGTACAGGATTTTTGATTCATTAAAAGAGTTCCCTGATCGCATGTAGTGACTAATGACTGCTTGCGTCTGTGGCGTGGCGTTTCAATGTAAACACTTGACCGTCACACGCAGTCTAAGCTTTGGGTTCGGTGCCGGAGTGGCGACATATTTTGTCGATTATCATTTGTCTGTCAACTCGGATCTTATGTCCCACTCAAGTGGGTGGTTGAAGGGCGCCACTGGTAGATCCTACTTCTTTACTTTCTTCTGTTTTTTCTTTCTGTGTGTCGTACTTTTTTCCCAGCACTAAATGCCCGTTATGACGTCGATGTGCTTTTCTTACTACTCCTCAAACTCCCACTCAACCGGATTTGAACCCTGATAGGCATGGTCGAAGCAGCCCGTTTCCTAATTGATTTAAGTTGTGTTGATGGCGTGTTGTTAGACACTTCAAACGGACAAAGCACGGTGTGAAAGTGTATGACGAGCTTACCACCTGTCCCGATTTCCCCTGGACTTTCCCGGATTTTGTTGTAATCAGCAATCAGGAATTTGAGATCCTTATCACAACTACACCTACACTACACCAAGACCAGTCCCACTTGATGTTAGTAGTTGTGTTCGTTGTTACATCTGCGTGTAATCTCATGGTATAACTTTGGTGTCCCGGTGTCCCTGATTAAGTTTCGCAATTTGGCAAGACTGCTTCTTGCTTGACGCCCCCATTGACATTGTTTAGATCAGTTAAGAGCCAGGCTGATCCGACCCTGTAAGTTGTACGTTTCACAATACGGGAATAGCTTTCCCAAAACGAAACGTGGGAATTGAAAATTAAGAGTTGAAATTTAAATAAAAAATGACGCCCAAGGCAGAGGCAGACCGTAACTCCAAATTCCGGTAGGATTTGTTTGTGGTTTGTAATTGTATATTTTTTGTTAGGTCTGTTTACATGTTTGCCATGGGTGGTTGGCGGGTGCTCTGGTGTGGTTTTCTCATTCTGTCCTATCCAACAACAGTCTATCATTCTTAACTCTACTCTTTCTTTTTTATGTTTGTTACTTTCTTGTGACACTAATTAATTTTTAGCACTTTTATGACCAAATTGTGTCGCAAGTGCCATAAATTTCTTACTGAAACAAAACAAAAACATTATTATGTTCTGTCTTTTCCTATTCGGAATTCCTGATTTGCCACATAATACCTGACTTTGAGTAATTACCACATCTCACTATCTACTTGTTTATGAGGCTCCACCATGTTTTTCCACTTTTCGTGTATATATAAGTCATTTCGTGTCTTTAAACATTTTATTATTGCTTTTTTTAAAACATTATTTTATATAGTTACTTAAATGAGAGATCTGCCAGTTTGGGTTTTAGTAGTAGTACGAGTCTTAGAATTTCGTGTGTAAACCGTGATTGTTTGCCTTTCGGTTTTTTTAAATCTTACATGTTTCTGGTGTGTTTGTTTGTTTGTTTGTTTTTCTGTTTTTTTCACGTGTTAGCTTTATCTCCATGGCGCCCCTGCCCAGACCAACATTATGTCCCTGTGCCGTGACACACCAAGGCTTGGCCACTGTACTGTCCCCAATTTCTTCGGTCCGTATGTGATGTAGTTTAGTTGCAATTGTCGAAAAACTCTGACTCTAACCAAAACTAAAACTAAAACGTGGGTGGTTGGCGGGTGCTCTGTTGTGGTTTGCTTCTTTTTTTCTATCAAACATCTATCGTCCTTATCTCCCCTTCTTCTTTTTTATGTTTGTTACTCTCTTGTAACACTTCTAATCTTCTGGCGCTCATGTGACCTTATGCTGTTGCGAGTGCCGTAAAACCTCTACTAAAACAAAAACCGAATTTCCGGGACTGTCCAAGATTCGTCCGTCGGGAATTTGAAAAAAAAACAGTTCATGATATAAGCTACAGCAAAACAATCCCCACCTGATGCAATGTTGTTGTTGCCCTATCTGATGCTGTCCCGTTAGATGTTGTCCTGATCGGGTTTTGAAAAAGTTGGCGAGCCTGAACACGTGTTTAGTCAAAGGTACACTATCAGCACTTGTAACCTGTGCGAAAGTGTGTCGATAGTGCCTTGAAACATAATCTGTTCAAACAGATCCACTCAATGAGCACTGAAAATGTACCCTAATATGTGGTTGGTGGGTGGGTGCTCTGGTGTGGTTTGCTCCTTCTTTCCTACCAAACATAATATAGCGTCCTTTTCTCTCCTCCTTTTTTGTGTATGTTACTATCTTGTAAAACATGTACTCTTCGGCGCTTATATTATGACCTTATTGTGTTGCAAGTGCCGTAAAACTTTCACTGAAACTTATGTAATGTGCTCTGGAATGTCCACCACAGCTTGACGTCTGGGGAAGTCCATGGCAAGTCTTCTGGGATGTTCTTTGAATAAACTGTTGCCATTAACGATGTGTCTGGAGATTTAAACGCCAATTTAGAATCTAGTGCATATACTAGCGCCCAGTTTTAAGCGAGCACGTTGAGGTTATAATTATTCTGACCCCGCGCTCACTTTTATGAAAAATGTGACAAGACGTAGAGCTATTCCACGACCTCCAACTGCCGGGCTGGGCATTCATTGTCGGTGTGGGGTCAAAGAAAACGAGACATTTTGAGGGAAACACGGATGAGGTCTAATCTCAATACAGTGTTATACATACTTTGAAGCTGGTGAGTTTGCACCTTTCTTGGTCTTCTCGGTGACAAATTGTGACCTGCGGGTGGTTGGCGGGTGTTCTGGTGTGCTTTGCTCCTTCTTTTTTTTTTACCAAACACCTATCGTGCTAGTCTCACCTCCTTAATTTGCATGTTACTCACCTGTAACACGTTTAATTTTCGATACTTATAGCTGGTAGTATGTACACGTATGTAGAGCCACTGGTATGCCCTACTTCTTTTCTCCCCACCTTTGTTTCCATCTGTCTTGCTTTTTCCCTGCACTAAGAAGACCGTTTTTGTGTCAATGTGCTTCTCTTAACTCAAATTAAAAAGCTCGGCACTTATAATATGACCTAAGTGTGTTGCAAGTGCCGTGCTACTCTTACAGTCTACTTAAAAAATGTAACGTATCTGTAAATTAATGGTCCCGACTGTTTCTTGTACAGTTTTGGGTGGTGATGTGATTCAAACCGCCGCTCTGTACTTAAACGTAAGATTCCACAGCGGTCAAAATTGACGGTCAACCAGATGGTGTTCCCATTGAAGGACTCGGTTTTTGTTTTTTTGCCTTCAAAGGTTTTTTATCTCTCCTCGTGCGCCCAGACCCATATTAGGCGATGGTTTCTAGGTTTGTAAGGATTCCTGTATAGACTAATTGGGTTCGTTTCTTACTATCGCTGTGTTGACATTAACCGGGCGTTTAAACAAGCACCGTAACCTCTTTCCTGCTGGTGAAAACCCACCAAAAATTCAGTGGTCATGCCCTATTGGAAATGCCTTGAGATGGCGAGTCTTGATTCCGTGTTCACATTACTCACAGTTTGCAAAAGGTGTCCGCGCTGTTGAGCGCTCTACATCGAAATGTGCCAATTAATGGAGAATGTTAGCGTGGCCAGGTGGTAAGCGGGCTCTCTGGTGAGTCGTCCCCCCTTGTTTTTTTTCCACCTATAAAACATCTATCGCCATTCCCCCTTCTTCTTTTCTCGGTAAGTTATCGTTTAGAAACACGAAACACATCTTATTTCCGGCACTTGTGTGATCTGTGTGTGTTGCAAAAACCGTTTAAAAAAAAGTTACTTAAAATTAAAATGGTAGCGTAACTGCGATCGAGCAGATGTAGTGATGTACCGTGTCGGTTAATTTGATGCGGAGACTGTCGTTACCAATGCAAGCCTTGTGCGTTATTTATACGGGCACGTTATTGTGTGGGTGTAGCGTGTTCGTGTGTCACTAATTTTATAAGTTTTATTGTCCTTATAATTATAATATAATTATTGTGTGTACGCCTGTTCCTGTGAGTGTGTGTGTG